ATTTCGCCGCCCAATTCCTCCTAATTCACATCTTTGTTGAAATTTTTTTTTTGTAATTCCGTACATAAAGATTCAGGAAATATGGGATCTCCGCCTACACAAGAAAATTGTCGATAAAACTCCAAAATGGAATTTTCTTTTGACCTTATTTTTTCCCCTCCTTTTCATTGAGGAAAGACAAGAAAATTTTGGGGTAACAAACGTTCTCAAGAATTTCACTTAAATTCGAACCCATAGCTGATGATAGAACTAGAATATATATTTTCTGTTTCCTACTTACACGAGCCCATATCCTTGCTTTTCTATCAATTTCTAACTCTAATCTTCCTCCCCAATCTGATATTATTGTGCCAGTATAGACTGGAATTCCGTTATGTTCCAATTTTGACCGATAATAGATACCGGGGCTTTGCAATATTTGATTGATTACAATTCTGTATATTTCATTTACTATAAAAGTTCCCAGGGAATTCATTAGAGGAATGTTTCCAATAAAAATAATTTTTTCTTGGATATCCTGACTGTTTTTCCAAATTACTCTCGCGGATATATATAATTCAAAGGAATATGTAAGTGATTCATATACAACATCTTTTTCTTTTATTGAGGGTTCTACCAATTGATATGTTTCCGCAAATAACTGAAATTCAATTTCTTGATCTGTATCTTCAATTTTTGGAAACTTCAAAAGTTCTTCTGTTAAGCCCCGATCAATGAATCTACAAAACCCTTCAAATTGTATTTGATTCAATCCCGGTAGTGTAGACATTCCTTCATTCCCAACCCCAAGCATTTTTTATTACCCCTTTTTATTTTATAGAAAATATCCCATGATTTGCTGTCATTCTTCATCGAATCACATGAATATATTTAGCAATAACAAAATTTATGTTCTTTTTACTTTACTGAATCACATGAAATTTTACCTCACTATGTCTATGAAATACGCATTATGAAAAGAGGAATTTTTCTACTCAAATTAGAATTTGCAACAAAACAAACAAATAGACTTTTAGTAGAGTATGATATTACATATTCCAACTCGATTGATACCCCAAAAATCAATTCAGGATTTATTGGCTCCATGAGAGAAAGATTTTAAAAATAAAATAATTAGAAAAAATATACAATTTTTTGAGCCCTTTTCCATTTCAAGTGTTCAAAAAAGAATGAAAATTAACAAAGAAGAGAAATATTTTGACCCTTTTTTTTAGAATGAGAGGATTGCAGTGCAAAAAAAGACTTGGATTTATGAAACATGCATAGATCTAACTTCAGTTATAGCTATCTATATATGTCTATTATGTTATTGCAGTCCTATTTGTTCGGGACAGAATATGTTGTGTTCATTTTTTTTCTATTCATTCATCAATCTATTTCATGAAAAATTAGCAAAAAAATGAAAGTACGAGAATTTATTGAAAATTTCCCTGTAATCCATAATTACATAGAAAATACCCAATTATATAATGTGTAACAATGAAAAGTGATATTATGGGGTTGACATATATTAACAGTTTCTGTTATAATGGAAATAGATAAGGATTATAAATACATATATATATATATATATATATATATATATATATATATATATATATATATATATATATATATATATATATATATATATATATATATATATATATATATATATATATATATATATATATATATATATATATATATATATATATATATATATATATATATATATATATATATATATATATATATATATATATATATATATATATATATTGATTTGTTATGTATCAATTTCGATTTTTTTCTCATTAAGAAATTCATATTCCTGAATTCTTCCGGAATTTGTAGTTAACAGTTGCTATTTGTCCCGAAATTTTAACTTTTTTTTACTGAAAAGGTATACGTTGGTTTTTTTGAGAGGAGGATATTCTGATCTATTTTTTTGTATCATTTTGGCGGCAGGGCCGAGTGGTAAGGCGGGGGACTGCAAATCCTTTTTCCCCAGTTCAAATCCGGGTGTCGCCTGATCGACAAGAGAATCAAAAAGGGTTTCTTCCATTTTGTTGATACAGAAACTTAGTATTTTTTCCATGTGGAAGCAAGTGTAGGGACAGAGTTCTTGAGACTTGTTTGATTCAAAATTCTACGCATCGCTAGATTTATTCTCTAAAATGCTTTAAATCTTTGCGTCTCGAATTCAAGGAAAAATTAATTAGAGTAGGGAAATGAAAAGGAATAGATCAATCTTGAAATGAAAGTCTTTTCACTCTACTACTGTTGTAGTGTCCGTCTACTGATTGGGTCTTGAATTAGATTGGATAAGGATAGGTAGGACAGGGAATATAATTCAATTTTTAGTTGGTGAAGGGATTGAAGAAAAACCGTCTATACAAACGTATGTAAAATATATGAACGCTTATGCATTTTTTCCATATTTGTTAGATTAATGAAATTGAATATCTAATTCGATTTCTTTTTTATTTATTTATTGAATTTTATTTATTTATTGAATTTAATGATATTCATATTTTTTTTATTATGAATTTCATTTTCATTTCATCCAATTCAAAAAAAATTCCATTCCATTTGATTTCATTTTCATTTCATCCAATTCAAAAAAAATTCCATTGCATTTGATTTCATTTCCATTCTAAGAAAAAGAAAACTCTTTCTTTTGGGTAATCGATAGTAAAAGAATTTAATAGGCTGTTTTCCAATTGTTTTAGAGAACAAATCGGGATACAATAAGGATTATTAGATCAAATTGAACTAAGAGATGCAAATAAGAGTATGCAAAGGAATCTATCTTGATTCTTTATTTTTTACTTAAATAAAATGAAATGGTCCCATTTTAAAAAAAAATAAAAAAACAATTGAAAAAAGATTTGAAAAAATATTTTTTTCTAGTTCTAAAAGTTTTTAATGAAAGAAAAAGGGGGTCTCGAATCGTGTTAGAAGAAATCGAAAATAGGTTCAAAAAAAGAGATGAATTGAGTGAAAGCAAAAAAAATTCAACAATCAATAAGAGTAATCTAATGATTGAGGAATCGCCCGTTCTAATTCAATCTATGAATTGGACAAATTTCACAGAAAAAAGGATAAAAGATCCTTAATGTTAAAACAAAGACAATCTTAAAACAACTAGAAAAAATGACAGAAGAAAAAAAAGAGGGGGTTATAACTTTAGAGATTAATTTGAATTCTACCAAAACTACTTATGATGCTAAAAGATTAGAATTACTAAAAAATAGTTTGAAAATTAAAAAGTAGAACCGTTCGATTAATCCGTAAATCCTATTTTTTTTCAAACTTTAATGGGAAGGATATACATAGAGATCGTTTTCTCTATCACTCGTATTATTATGATGTCTGGACAATGTTTTCTTAATATTATTGAATTAATAGACAAAATTGTAAATGTATTTATTTCCATTTACAATAAAAAAAATGAACAAAGAGTTCATAAAACAAATGAAAGTATAATTCCATTTATGTCGATTATAGACAAATCTTAGAATATTACAGATATGAATTCACAGAACTCTTGTGATGTATCTTCTTTGTCACAAGCCTATGTATTTTTTAAATTATCACAAGTTAGTAATGGATATAAATATAAGTTAAGATCTATTTTTGAATCTCATGGAAGATCTTTGTTTCTTAAGAATGAAATAAAAGATTTTTTTTTAGAATACAAGGAGGAAGATTAAATTCCAAATTAAGACATAAGAACCGTCCCGATTCTATAATGAATCAATGGATAAATTGGTTAAAGGCTCATTATCAATATGCTTTACCTCATAGAGGATGGTCAAAATTAGTACCACAAAAGTGGAGGAAGAGAATCCATGAACATCGCGTGGCTCAAAAGAAAGATTTAGTTGAATATGATTCATCTTAAAAAAACCAATTCATTTTTTACAAACAAAAAAAACAACAAGTAGATTTATTAGAAGAAAAATAATAATAAAAAAACAATATGGATATGATCTTTTCTCCTATCAATATATAAATTATGCAGATAACAAAAATTCCTATATTTATGGATATAAATCACCATTGCAAACAAACAAAAACCAAACGATTAATTACAACATACCTAAAAATAAAAAAGAATTATTTGATATAATGGGCGATAGCTTTATCCAAAGTTATATAGCAGAAGATGGTATTATAGATATGGATATGGAAACAATGGAACAAAATCTGAATAGAAAGTATCTAAATTGGATGGGAAAAAGAAAAAAGAATTCCAAAATGAATCAGAAATTATTGACTCCGAGATTTGGGTTCTTTTCAAAATTAAGTGCATATAAGAAGAATCCTTGGATCTTACCAATAAATTTCTTTTTTGTGCAGTTTTATGAAACAAAAACATTACTGATGTTGCCAAGTTAGAGTTAGAAAAGAAAGAATACGGGAAGCAAGCAGATCTCAAATCATATCTCTCAAACTATTATAGGGACACTCGGTATAGTATAACTAGATAAAGGAAGGATCTAAATGGCGAACGAAATTTCTTACTAGATAAATATTTTGGTTTTTATTTGCACTGTAAGACTCCCCCGTCCAAGAAACACTAATGGATAATATCAACTTATATTGTCTCCTGGTTAGATTGAAAAATCTAAAACAATTTTTCATAATGTCTATAAAAAAGGCAGACCTCGATTTTGAAATTACGGCGCGTCTACAGATGAAGGACACTTGTTATATAGAATGTAGGGACACAGAGGAATTGAGGGACAACCTAATATTTTTTATTGAACCTATTTGTATTTCTATAAAAAACTATGAACAATTTTTTATATATCAAACCATAAGCATATCACTGAGGCACAAACGTAAAATTTTGAAAAGAAACTATGATTTACTTGTTCCTAAAAATCTTTTGTCCACTAGACGCTATAGAGAATTGAGAATTCTAATTTGTCCACAGAATAGAAATACTGTGCATAGAAACACAATAAATGACACTGAGAAAAAACGAAATAATTCTTCTGAAGTTTTGA